GGGTGCATTCCCTGTAGCCAAACGCGAAGATCTTCGGCGTGGAGTTGCGATGCCCTACGGCGCAGCGGCGTGCAAATGCTAATGTTGGCGTGCCGGCGTAGTATCAGTTTTCCCCTAAACGGCGTACAAACTTAATATAATACAATCAGAAAATATCGTCGTTAAGTCTCTATTGTTTATCGGATAACTTAACAGTTTCATGATCTTTTTTGCCAACCAAATCAAGTATAATATGTTACATGCAGTGGTTTCATATTTGATAAAACACTTCCTACTTAGTATTCCTTATATAAAGAATACTATTAATTGTTTTTGAAACCGTTCAATAAACTCGCGACTCGTGTTTTATTGTGTCTAAAACCACTCGCGCGCAGGGCCGTGCCGACCGGGGGGTGTGGGGGTGTAACACCCCCCCCCCAATAATTGCTCATGTGGGCAATTTCAGGTAAATCCAGGTAGATTTGCAGAAGAAATTCGGGTAAATGAACACAAATTCCAGTAATTTCTATGCCCAGAGAAAGTTAATTAACAAAAATAAGTGTGAATTTGGAGAAGAATGAGCTAAATTGACAAAAATTTTAGAGAATGGTACCAAACTTTCGGATTTAAGAAAAAAAAGTTGGATAAATGGAGAAAATTTGGTAATGCCAGGAAAAATTGTTCCCCGTGGATATTCGTCCGACACCGGATCTTCCTGCTTCACGGCTATTCATCCGACAACGCTTTAAAAGCTAACACTAAACCACTAAAAGGGTTGCGTTGTTTCTTAAGAACGAAGCAACAACATATTATATATGTAAATATATAGCGTACCAATTTTGTAAACGCACCATAATTCAATCTATTGCGAAGGTGTGTATCTTAAACCATTAATAATAATAATAATAATAATAATATTCGATACGCTATACGTTTCGTACGCGGTGCGTAAGCGAAAATCACGAAGAAAAAAAAGTATAAAAAAAAATAATAAAATAGTAGCGCGAGCAGGAATCGATCCCAGAACTTGGCGCACGCAATACGGGCACACGCCTAAACCACAACACTACGAAGGATTCGCTTGAAATTCAATTAAATTTACGCTGTTTTATTTTTAACGAGTTTAACGATGACATGTCGGGAAAACATTTTTGACCCCTAAAATGGCACACTGACCGAAATTTTTTTGGCGAGGGGGGGAGGTCGCCGTAAAATTTTGCCAAAATATAGATTAAATAAATCTGGCAGTCTGGCGGCGTGTGCGAATTTTCCAGCGGCGGAACTTCGGCGTGCACTCTACATGGAATGCACCCTGGTAAAACACGAGTAGGAGTGTTTTATCACGACAACGAGTGTTTTGCCGAATAACAGCTGGGCATTCTGTTGTCGCTGTCTAAATATTGCGGGCGCATTTCTTTAACAAACATTTTGATTCTTCGAATGCTGAAAATATGCATTTTGAGAGGATTTTTTGTCCTCTTTTACTGGTTTGTTCATGGAGAATAAAGTGTTTCTTGAAAGATTAAGTCGTAGTACCTGTACGCAACGATATAACGATTTAATCGCATGAAAACGTGCGAAGAATTTTTATTTACAAATGGGCAACAAGTGGAAATGTTTCACTCATTGTCAGGGTTTCAGAAGCAGGGTACAGCAGTATGGAAACAAGGAAGTGTTCATATTTTACTCTTGATAGAAGCTGAGTTGTTGTTGTTTCCACAGGTATGTTCAATAATTTGTTTGTCCTTCCTCATCTGGAATAATAAGTGTCTTAAAATACATATTTTGATGAAAATGACACCTATTCCTCTTGCAATTTTGTAAAAACTGGCCGTTGCCTTTAGTTAGAAGTTATATTTTATGAAAGTTAAATCATACTTTGTTTTATTAAAACCTGAGCTATTCATGGGAAAAATGTGCTAGATGTTGTAATTGACAAGTCCACTTGTGAAGTGAAAATGTCATGTTACTGTCTGGAATGTTACATGCTTATGAAATTGCTCCTGTATTGGTTTGTTATAAAGTAAAAATTGCTGCAAAAATGATTTTGAAAATGTTCAAGTATTGGTTGTTATGAGATAAGAAATGCCGCATTGATTTGTTCAGTTTTAAGAGTCTAACGGCAATCCTGAATATAGGCATGCTTGCTTTGTGAAATTCTGTGGTGATATGGCATATAAATAAAAATATCTTAAAATTTTTACCATTGCCTCTCTCCGAAATATGGCTTAAAACTATCCTTATTAATCAACCTTCATGGAAAAGTTAGTGGGTATGCTGGGAAAAATGCGCGCGGCACTTTTTTTGGACACTGAAGATGGTAACATTTGATGTTGTCATATATTGCCACCCTCTTATCATAGCATAACTTAACTTATTTTATTGAGTTTGTTAAAGCATTGTGCTCACTATATGCCTGTAGTATCTAAGACTTTTTCATAGCATTATATGACAAATTTAAGTTCTGTTTTCTTTTATTTTTAGGTGATAGTATCTGTTCACTTGAGTGTTGGTATCAAATTTTGGACAAGTTTCAATTATTATTTCACATTCCTTTATTCAAATATCCAAATAAATGGAATATGCACATCAAACTGGACGACTAGATTCTGTTTCCAAACTTGTTTTTGTAAAAATAGAAAATAACAACTTATTATGTGTTGTTCTAATAAAAACTATTGTTTTTGATATGCATATTTAATTTTTAAAATTACAGTCATTCTTTGCTAAAGTGTGTACCAGGAATACTTGAAATCTTTCAGATCAGCTACCAATTCCCTTTATAACTTATGTAGCCAAGTGTTCTATCAATTTCTGTTCAGATTAAACAAATGATGGGTAAAATATTAGTTTAGATTCTTTCCAAAAAAATGAGCTTGCCTATTTTGAAAGCATAAAAAGCAATAAAATGAAGCAAAAGTACTTATTTTTAATTTAAAACCTTTGGATTGCATAGCTTAATGTTTTCCACTAAATATTACAAAGTTTTTGTTCATTGAAATGTTGTTTTATCAGCTTTAAAACCAGATAAATCCACGAAGCACTCTTATAAATATATGTCGCCATATTGATTTTTTCGCGCATGCTCCGTACAAAATGCCCAGCTGTTTTGCCGAATAGCTTAACAAACGACTACAAAAGAATACTAATTAGAATGAACAATTTATGATATAATCATACTAATTAGGATGAACAATTATATAAAGAATATTAATGAAGATGAGTTTTATCAGATATAAAGTCACTCCACGTGACATAATTATTATGGCTGACATGATTTGCCACAAGATTTATGAATTATTAATGAGTATTTTAAATACTTAATAGTACCAACATTTAAACACACTACCGCATCTACCGCATACCTTACAGTCACTGGTTTAGACACCGCACCATCTGTTACTGAAATTCCAACTTTCGCATTTCCTTCATTTTCCTTCACGTTGTAAACAGATCGAGTGAAATTAATGACGACTTCAAATGAAGAAAAGACAAACAGAAAATCAAAAGCTGGCAGAATATCTTCTACAATGAGCTGGTACACCTAACGTGGACAGTATAGAGACCTTAAGATCTGGGACGGCAACGTGACGACGACGGCTACCAGATAATCTTGATACGCGGAAAAGTACTGGCACTAGTTGTCAAATAGAAATCCATTTTATGATTAAAACAACTGAATATCTCCTGTAATATACTTTATTTCGATTCCATATTTTTGTCAGAGTATAGTTCTCACAACCAAACATAATTACAAAATTTCAACTAGTTTCATAAAGAATAACGAAAGATATAATTGACTGAATACATCAAAATGGATTTCTATTCGGACAACCCTTTCTGAGTGCTGATTGGCTAAAATACGAACACGAGATCACCTGGTAGCAATACAATGAAATTAATAATATTTAAGAAATGAAATGACTAATTAAAATCCCACAAGAGATTAATACGTCGACCACGATCTGTATACAACCGGTAAACCATATTTTTTGCATAAGAAGTGGATATTTAGAAAATTGGTTCGGTATATACTAATGTGGAACTCTACTCAATAGAAAGCCTCTGTTTTCATCTCTTAATCAAGCTGTACTAAGTTCATACAATTGATAATATACGATAAGATTTCTTTACAATCATTTATTTGGGTAAATTTGTTTTGGCCGTCGTCGTCGCTTTGCCGTCCTACATGTCAAGGTCTCTATATGAAGCCAGTGCATGGACATGTGCAACACCGCAAGACATAAAGTGGTGATAATCTGTTAATACGTTTGACAATGATTTTATGTGTTGGGTTTTTGATCGATAACTCAAATCTTGGATAAAAGTTTTCAAAGCATGTTCTTTTTATAACCAAAGAATGATTGCATACCTATCTAAAATCTTGATAATGATGACTCACTTATTGTCACGAAACCGTATTAACACATCAGAAAAGCTTAAATTAAAGTATTTACCATCATTATCAATGATATTCACTGAAGAAGGTTCTCCCAATATCGCCGGGGACGAAGATGCCAACGATAAAACAAAACTCTCTGTAGGTTCGACCCACCGGTCGTCTACCACCTCAATTTCGATTTGTTTTCGAGTCTCCCCCAGCTGGAATGTCACGTTCTTAACGGTGGCGAAGAAATCACCATTGCCTGCTGTAGCTGGGCTTGCATGGATACTAAATAAATTCAAAAATTGTTCTTTTGTTTTGAAAAAGCTTGTTTTAGATAATAAATGCATGCTTGACAAATGTTTACAGTTAATATAACAATAACTATATTTGACGTCATCCTTTGTTAGAGGTTCTTGCCGACCTTTAACATGATCGGGAGAAGAACTAACCGCAACCACGAGAAGCCACAAAATTCGCGCGAAACTAAACCCCACGAACCGAACGAATTACACCGTCCAAGAAATATTAGCAATTTTTTAGTTATTGTATATACAATAATAACTAATTGCTAATAATATATAAATAATAATACTAAATATAATAATAAAATTTTTTTATTGCAGTTGAATTTCAATGTCAATTCCAACTGACAATGGTACCACCGCCGTATTGACCATTGCATGAGACTAGTCATGTTCAACTTCGCTTAGATTGACTAAAGGCTGGTTTACACTGTCAAAGTTTCTGTGATCACAGTAGGAATTTTGCAAAGGTAAATTCTATAAGTTTTGAAGGATTTGTAAGAAATGTTTGAGAGAACTGACCCACTGTTAAACACTGATTCAGTTCCTTCAAACATTCCTTACAAATCCTTCAAGAATTTACCCATGCAAAATTCCTACTGAGATCACAGAAACTTTGATGGTGCTGTGTAAACTAGAATTCTCAATCTTTGGCAGAGTTCACTAAACATATAGTTGAGAAAAATGAGAAAAATAACGCACCTAACTGTGAGAGGAGCAATCACCTTATTCTGTGTAACATATATACCAACAACTGCTTTCCTGTCTTCATTCACATCGTAAACTGATCGAGTGAAATTAATCACAGGTCGACCTAAAGAAAAATGAAGCATCTAGTAAATGAATATGTATGTAATACATGCAGCAGCCATGTTGTATGAGTGCTTGTATATCTTAGACAACACGGACACAAATTACTTCGATTCCGATTCGTCTAGACGAAAACGATCGTATTCTTTGTTAATCTTAAATGCATGAATGACAATTGATGAGCCTGAAATGACCATACGCTCATGGGGAATCACGGCCACCAACGGGCCACAAAAGTTGGCCATATTAACGGGTGACCGAATTAACTCGGTATTTTTACAAGAAAATGTATGACAGTTTTGCCGGGCCAGAAAATGGCCATGCGAATAACCGGAGGTGACCGTATTAATGAGGTGGCCGTAAAGCGAGCTTCCACTGTAATTAGAGTTGATGAAAATCAAAAATCACAGAGTTGACTCTGTTGAGCGAATATTTCGGGTAAATCAACAATGCTATATTGGTTCGTGACAAAATTCGCCGCAAAACAGATAACATACTTGATTGTTATATAGTTAGTGTCAAAGTTCAATTTTTCTGTTTGCCAATTGGTCAAAACCGTGTCACGTGCCACTCCACAAAACGTCATGTTCGGCAACCGGTCCGCAATCAAACATTTATTGACCGGTCAATAATAAAATGGGTGCAATACGCATGCGTGTCAACTATGAAGTCCCAAAGTTAATTTTTAAAACTTTTTTCTAAACATTTACGGCGTTACATTTATCCAGTTTTGGTTTCAAACTTTTAAGTTCACTCCAATCACCGGCGAATTATTCATACTTTGACACTTATATACTATATAACAAAACACTTATTTACTGAGACCTTGGGAAAGCAGTGTGTTTTGTGGCCCCTCGACTCGACAACGACGGTCTCGGGTCCACAAAACACACTGTTTCCCTCGGTCTCAGTAAATAAGTGATAAAGATTTTGCAGGCCACAAATGGCACGTGAATTCTGCTGCGGAAACAGCTCTAGTGTGCGCCGAATATGTCCTTTGTTTACCGGTACCACCAACAAGAAATACGTAAGAACCAACAACAACGGGAGATGGTCAGATGGATAGAATTCGAACTTCATTTGAAGTACAGCAGGAATAGGCAAAATTAGACTTACCTTCAACTTGTTGGCAAGTGGAAGTTGCTATTTTAATTGCACTTTGTTGCAATTCAGTGAAAGACTCCAACATAATCACATATTCTCCGCTACCCGCAATTTCCAAAAGTTGACCTCTTCTTGCTCCCATTCCAATACCAACAGCAAATACAACAATGCCTCGCTCTTTCAATTTGTTCGCTGCTTCTTTGAGTGGAATCAAGTCAGTTACACCGTCCGTTGTTTGTTCCCCATCAGTAAACAATATTGCTATCTTCTTAACATCCTCACGCATACCAGCTTCCGTGGTAAATAGCTGAGTATCGGCAATATGAAGACCCAGGTCGATACGGGTCACATCTTGAAGATGTGGCATTTTTAACAAGATACGAAATAATTTCCTCATAGTATGTTGTGAACCAAACCTACTATACATTTCAGCTGTCTTACTGTATAACACTACACCAACATGAGTTCTATTAGGTTTGAATCCCATGTATACAGCAATACTTTTCATAAAGTTCTTAATATTTAAATATCCTGTACGGCTTATACTTCCTGAGGAGTCCACAATGAAACCAACATCCACTTTAGTTTTGCAAACAGCTAAGGAATCTATAGAGATAAATACAAAAACCGTGTTTAAACCCTGGGCAAACCAGTGGTGGTACAGGGGAACAGTGGTTGTTTAACAATTACACGGAAACAAATAAAGCTGTTTCTAAAATTGTTCGGAAACAATGTTGCTTCCTTGAAAGGAACTTTTGTTCTTTTCATGACATCAACTAAGTTTCTTGATTCTCGCTACGGTCTCCGGTGTGAAAAGAGTGAACGCTCTGCCGAAAGTCGTGGGTTTTCTCTGGGTGCTCCGGTTTCCTCCCACAGGGAAAGTTGACAGCGTGGTTTAGGATAAACTCAGTTAAGAAAGTAATATCACAATTGTTGTAAAAATAAAATAGTCTATAGGTCAAGTATGTAATTAGGTAAGTGTAATACTTGGTTTAAAGCGAATTTGATCATATCCACACCGCGTAAATTTGCGCTCTAGAAATGGCTTAATCTTAGGCCACGGTCAAACGTCGAACTTTTCATGTGCCGAAGCTAATGCAAATGAAGTGAAACAAAGAACTTAGCTCACTAACATTAGGTCAGTTCGGCACATGAAAAGTTCGACGTTTGACCCTGGCCTTAGCCTCAAATTATGAAAACACGCATACGAACAAAATTCTTATACAACTAAATCGTATTTATTACCAATATAATTTCTTTGGCAAATGTCATTTGAAATCTTTACAGCCAAGCCATCCAAATCTTTAAAACCATCAACCTGATAGAGTTGTTCACTCGCATTCTTTACCATGAGCACGAGCTCATCACGTGAAACCCCATCACCGATACCAACAGCATACACGTATACGCCCATATCATGAAGATCCTTCGCTCTGCTCTCTAAAACATCACTGTCCCCGTTGCTCTGTTTTCCATTCGTAATGATGAACACAACCTTCGGAAGAAAATCCCGTACGCCACTTTCGGTAGTGAAAACATCTTCCTTTACCAGTTTAAGACCTCTATCCAAGCTCCAAGCTCCTCCTAATGGTTTTACAGATTTGTCCACAGCTTTAGGAAACTTATTTCTATTTGCACCTGTGTCTTGTAAGCCAATTGCGACACGGACTTGTGTTCCCGCCAAGATAACTGACATGTGACTTGCATGTGATGATACGTGAAAAATATTGGCTACTCTTTTCAAGAAGTTCTGTACATCAGGTAAATTGCTGGGTGATAAATTATCAGAGACGTCAACCACTGCAGCAATTTCTATTGGTGTGTTACATTTGTCTGGAAAAAATGTGGAAAAGAATGATTGAAGATATCTTTGACAGAATACAGCGAATCATAAAATACAATTATGTACCCAACCCACTGCTTGTTTCAAACCTGTTCACAAGATGTCACAGGAGCAGCATACTTACTACAAGCTAGGTTGTGATCTCAACAGATTTGTCACAAGCAGATCGAGCAACTTAATGTTTTCCATGCCGCAGAAGTTGCGATGAAATGAAAATCGGAAATGAAAATTAATTGAACATGCCCCAAAAAGGGCTTTTCAGTGATGATAGGCTATAATAAAATGAACTATATGACTTGCGGTGACGTGACTACGTTCTCGTTTGACCACGACGTAAGACTAAAATTTGAATTTAAAATATAGCTTACCAGCAGCCTCTATAATTCCAAGAAACAAAAGCATGCAAGCGATTATCTTCACATCCATTTTGCGTGGTCTGTAAAAAAAAATAAACAAAAACTAAAATTAAAAAATCATTACACCTGACTAAAAGTTTGTTTTAGTATTTGATATTTATAAATTTTACAATCACTGTATTTGTTCTGGTTTGCGTATACGTTTATTTTTCTGGGGCCGGTTGTTCAAAAGACGATTAGCTTAACCTTTCGTTAGCCTAAAATTGAAAGCAAACTTCCCGACAGCTTGGTTATAAACTTGGAAATATTTCTTCAGAAATCTTGTCTGGACCAATGAGAGTTTTCTTCTCTGAAGTTTTGAAAGAAATAGATGCGCAGAAATACATAAACTAAAACAGCAGGTTAAAATTTAACGCAGGATTAGCGCTAATCGTGCTTTGAACAACCGGCCCCTGCAAATCATTCGATCTTAAATAGGCGGTAAGGGGAGGCTAGCAACAGGTCCAAGGCCCAAAAAAGGAAAGCCTTATCGCTAACGTTGTTACTGCAGTTTAACTATAAGTCGAGAGAACACATTGCATCGATACATGTTACGGTCATGAGAGCGATTCGAAAACCTGTTTCGCGCCGATTGATTTCCACGTAAATATAGTTCATTCGTAGCGTCTTCGTATCAGTGTTTACAACGTTTAAATATATACAGATCTCTTTAGAAGAAAAATCCAAGAACACGCCAATTGGGAGCTAGCAGTGAGACGTGACTTGCACCAATTATCCCTCACGATCCCCTGTTGCGGCCCTCTCAATGGGCCCTCTTGCTCACGTATTGTGTACTGTGGCGGTTGCTACCGAGTTGCCTGTGGAGGGTGCATGGCTAGGTCTAAAATAACACAAGACTAATGCAATATGTTTACTGTCAACTATTGCCACATGCCGGTAGAGGCGAGGTTCTAGGGGGCTGTTTATATAATTCCAGTTTGCCGGGAAGGCATGGAAGGCGGGATGATTTTGATGCATTCAACTCTACAACGCTTGGAGAAGCCCCGACATTGCTAAGTTTTGTAAGGAGAAAAGTATGATTTACACTGTCGAAGGCTTTTGATAAGTCTAATAGCATCAGTGCAGTAATCAATTTCTCGTCCATAGCCTTTAGGATGGTATCTCCGTTGAAAAGATTCAGTGTTTCACATGAGTGATGATTCTTGTTCCCGCTTTCGTGTGTTGACAATTTTTTGTTAAATGTTGTCGAGAAGATCTCCTAGTTCTCAAGAAGATTATTATCGCTTGCTTGAGATTAACAACCTTTCGTTTACAATTACTAATATAATCTATCACTAGAAAAATAATGTAGTTTTACTGAATCGTGCACATGGTGACTTATTTCAATACATCAAAAACATCCCACATCTCGTCAAGACAAGGATAAACAGTCCCTAGATACAATTTCATATACTTGCGTCCCAGAATCGCACAGTGTGGCATGCCTCTCTACAGACTTGCTACAAGTCGACTCGCATTGTGGCGAGCCAGAACGAGTGAGCGAATAAAACGAATTTGAAAACATTCAGTGCCAGTGACACAGTGTGATATCCTGCATTCTTATTTAAATAAAGTTTTCTCACTGAAATAACACCGAATCACAGTGAGAAATCACCACACACGGAACAATTTTCGTCAATTAACATTTTTCTTCCGATAGTCGAGTTTGCTCGTGAATTTTCCACCGCGCGCTTGTTTTTATTACCCGAGTATCAAATTCAGCCACTATATGACTGAACAACTTCTCGGAGACGGCTCGTGTTTAGAAATAAAACTGGCTTGGTACATTTTGAAAAGTTCTATACTCTCACGAAATCATACTGTAGGTTATATGGTTAGGGTCAGCATTTTAAGATAAGAATTTGATCATTAATTAGGATTGTATATAAATCAAGGTTGATAATATGGAAATTGGCCCATAGTTTCCATTATTGTATCTTATCGCTGAAATATTGAGTAAGAGGAGACAATAACGACGAGGCGGCTAGAAATTCCTAAAAACGACGACATACGAAAAGCGAGTGGTATCTATTCATACCAACCACGTCTTCTTCATTTTTTGTTTTTGTTTTGAAATTATTGGAATTTGCGAAAATATGGAAGGATTGCAATTTCTAAAGGATTTTCTGCGTATATCATTATTTCACTAATTCCAGCTGCAAATTTCTATATTTCGGGGTATTATAAGAGAACCGGCCAAACCCTTCGTGAGACCGCAGTAGCTGTGTGAGAAATTTTTAATTTGTTGTTTTTGAGAAGAAAAACCCCCTCAAACTAACACTGACACACCAGCACTGGTGAGATAATAAATGCACAGTGCATGTGGCACACGTCCTTTCCAGGGACAATGCATGCAAAGTCCATATTTACTATACCTGGCATAGTTCAGGGACCATTGATGCATGTAGTCATTAAGCCACTAAACCAAAATTTCGACACTTTCCTTATTACAAATAACCCCGAGAAAAACGGGGGAAGATGCTAAGGGAAAAACGCGAAAAACTCCTTTATTGAAGTGCCGATTTTAGTTTGGTCCCCAAGACATTTGTGATTTGAGAAATCTTTGTTAAGCGCTAGACTGGTCACATGATCATTTTTACAACGTTTACAAAGTTTTACATGTTATGGAATCACAAACATGCAGTGAAAGACGAGGTGAAAAATTCCCATGCCCATGGCCATGTCATTGGATATTTTTGGCTGTGTTGTTAAAGACTCGAGAGCAACTCTACAGGTAATTATCGTGTCTATCAGAATCGCATTTTTTAAAAGCATTAAAATGTTAAAGATCATATATAGTAGTGAAACGAGCCTTAGTCTGGCTTAGAGTTTCAAAACATCCAACAGTAATTCATATTTTTGGGGGAGGTGCGTCAGGGTTACTTGTATAGTATGGAAAAGTGTTACGAAACTTTAGCTTAGCGTACACGTCTTTTATGTATATTACATGCATAAATGCGAGCATAAGAATATAACAGCTGTATCCAATACATATACATATTCAAAATATATAAAAAATATAGGCCTACATAGACTAGTTTTTACAGTTTATAACGATCTTTAGTTAAGTAAGTTACTTTCCCATTATGTGGTGTCAGAAATTGTCGGACCATTGTTATATACAGTCGAACCTCTATTAAGCGGCCACCCTCGGGAATCGGCTTTGTGGCCGCTTAATAGAGGTGGCCGCTAAATAGAGGTACGCAAATAATAGACCCTGGGCGTAGTCAATGCTTTTGAGGTGTAAAGCTTTTGAGGTGTATAAAGTGGCATGTGTTAAAACATAATTTTTAAGCCTTATTTTACAAATAAAGCAAATTAGCTCGACTTTTATTTTCGGCTCTCATGACAAGGTGTTGCGCCAAGTAAATCCTGCAGGCTGGCCGCTAAATAGAGGTAAAAATTGTCATAAAACATCATTTGGGCCCGCTCTTTGGGTGGCCGTAGTCGCTTAGTAGAGGTGGCCGTTTAATAGAGGGATAGTTTATAGTATTTGTATTACAAAAATTTCGGGACTTCGACATGTGGCCGCTTAATAGAGGGTGGCCGCTTAATGGAGGGCCGCTTAATAGAGATTCGACTGTATTTCGAATTACAATCGTCTATATGTTGGATGAGGTGTAAGGCAAACTTTTGGAGACGTTGAGTTAGTTCAAAATACTGAACATAGTTCTTAGGCTACTAATTTCAAAATACTGAACCAAAACTAAAATAGCAAATCACAGTAGGATGTCACAGAGTCATCAACAACTGTTACTGTAAAATATGCTACAAACTAACTATAGTATACGTCTATAGCCTCAGTTTGAAGGTTTCCATGCAGTTGAAGTTGCGGGACGATATACGAATATCGCCTATATAATCTACGTGCATATATGTCCTATTTGTAGGTGATAAATACCATTACTTTTCAAGTTGTAATAATAACTAATTAGTAAATCTTCGAGAACATTTCGTAAGAGTTATCGGGAATTAATAATAGCTTTAAATCGCTAAGGATATAAATATCTATTTCTATATTTTACGTGTATGAATGACGTATACTAATGCATAACAAAATGTACAGCCAAATATGTAAATAACTTACCAAGATTTTCACTGGTTTTACTGTATATATGTAATTAGCTTGTTGGGTGAATGGTTCTGTATTAAGTATCCTATGGCTATGTACCAGCATGAATGGTGATTATGGTGTGACGGAAATTAATAACTTGTATAAAAAAGTTACAATTTCCGATATTGTAAAGATAACATATTGATATCCAATACGAGTATTCTAAACTTAAAAAAACCAAATAACATGAATGCAAACACAAGTTATTCGAAATCAAACTTACCGAAACGGCGAAAGAAAAATTCGACTCTTGAAAAAAACTGTTGTGAACTCTGAACGAAATACAAGCACGATAAAAATGGAATGCTACCGATTGTTTGATATCGCACAGCTGGATGGATGAGGTATGCATGCGTAAGTACTCGATAAGTTGACATAGTTGGCATTATATCGTGAGTTTAGACTAGAGCTAGAAATGCATTTAATCTTTGTCAAATCTAGGGTCAATGTTAAAACAACATGGGAAGAAATTTTACCGTCTCTAAATTGCAGGTTGCAGGAGGTTGATGAGATGCAGTAAAGATGGATTTTGACTATTGAAAAAATAATAAAAAAACAAAAATCCATCTAAATCCGCGTAAAAGGAGCCAAAAAGTTACAGTTGATAATACGTTCATTCATGCATGCAGTCAAAAGATGTTTGTAAGTAGTGCGACCTATCCATTTTACGATATTGTAGCGTTTTCTGCTGCTATACCATTTCGTTCGGCCCAACACACTCACACGCATGCTTCAATATGGCAGGGGTCATCCTGAGGCCTTCCATTTTCTAAAATGGGAAGGTTTAAATGTAAAATGGGAAGTTGTAAAAATTATATAGTAGATATAAATTAAGCATTCATACATGCAGAGATTTTTAAATCTCCTTAAAAGGCCAAAACAAGATGAAAACAAGATGAAAATTAGCCTGCGGACCTTTTCCGGACCGCCATAGCCATTGAGGCCTGCATGCAATACGTCATGCCTCACAACTCCCTCACAGACTCTTCTTCTTGTTGAAATTGGCATGAGTTCTAAATTTTTCTCAGGCTGATCCCTGCAATATCGATGACTAGTTGTGTCCGTTTCTTGTGATCGAGACCAAAAAGGTCCTGCGGAGGAGGTAGATGGACAATGCAATGTAGCGCATTGCCGCATTAGAGGGATTCTTATTTGGAATCAGTTGTACAGTTTTGAATATTTTTGACTATAGACGTAACCTATACGGTGATACAGTATTCATATCAATGAATACTTTGTTAAGATACACTAAGATTTCGTCAGCAGTGGCATGGAGTTCAGTCTATCTCTGTTCGGGGATGGAAGAGGAATATTTTCTTCTTGAATATTTAATATTCCTACTAAAATTCATATTCCTATCTTACAAATTCTTAAAAAAATCTGTCGACGGTGGGGGGATATTCATTCCAAATTTTGTTTCAAATATTCATATTCACACTACTTCACATGCCGGCATTTATATTCAATATTCATTTTCTACCCGAAACTCTGCCAGCCTCGTCCCCAGGCGCTTTGATTTGCGGTGGTGCAGTTTATATAATCAGTCCAGAACTGAAAATTATTATCACACTCATTATCACACTCATATCGTGTGTCTGAGTAATCTACACGTCATGCCATGGACAGTTCACCCTGTATCACAAAGACAACGACACGATATATGAATACCAGCTGAACAAATAATTAATTGCAAAATTTCACTAATATGGTTATACTTTATATCTAGAGACTGGACTCCTATAGTGTTTTTGCAATATCAATTGTTGTAGTTGTATATCACAGCTTCACACTCATGCTAAGGTAATTAAACAACGTGAAAATAATCTGTGGAATTTTGTTGAAATGGGAATTAGGTGAGATGGATGAATATTCTGATGCTTTATTAATCAGAACTCCTGTGCAGTAGCAGCTTCGGTATGTTAATAAGCTTTGTCCATTACATCCTCGTTACTTCATTTCCTATGGTGTCTGCATGCATGCAAATAAATACGATGGATGAATCGTGCTAGCACTAGAAGTTACCAAATGACACCGAAAATGCTTCACGTCAGAAATTAACATTATCTACACAGTTCAATCTTACCTTGTCGATCTTATAAATTAACTTTATCGTTTTACCAGATATTGACAGATATTCTAGTTGAATAAATCTCAATATTTAGTGGGCCGGTTTAAAATTTTAAAAGTAGCCGTTGGGTGACATCATGTTTTCAAAGATCATGAAAGCACTCGCCTTTTGGCCGCTGTCGATGTTTCTTTTACCTCATAGCGACTATCTATTGATCTTATTTGTTTTCCACAGGTAAATGCCGTGTGCTTGAAGCGTCACGGAAACAGTCCTGTACACTTTATAATGACATATAATTTGTTTTGTGAAAAAAGACATACAAATGTAATTGTCAGTAACTCATATATGAATTTTCTGCGGGATAAATGTTAATTATAACTTGGTGTACTATAAGCTACACAGTTCAGATATGATCATTGTGTATATTCTCTTGGCGTATAATATGCCCTCGTGTAATATTCGACGTTGTTTCAGCGCGTGTCTGTACAATTCCCGCGCGCTCCAAATTAACCATTATATCGCTTTCTTTCAACGATCAAAAAGTTATTGCGGATTTCTCAAATGTTTTCTATTTTCGAAAAATCGACTTCGCAATTTACTGACTACTAAGTAACTACTAAAAATTTCGCATATTAAATGAGCTTCAGTTATCTATCCAGCTAACTATCGTATGAACAATTAGTTCGACACTCCATTTTCCATCCTAACTAGACTGAGTATAGATTTACCTCAAAAATAGGCTGTCGCAAATAGATGAGTTTCGTTAAAATTAAAGTTGCAGCAGACGGTCGTGGGCATAGTTACCAGAGGCAGAGTGAGAAGATGGTTTTACTAGTTTTCATTACTTTTACTTTGCTGGCAAGTAAATTGAAAGGTGTGAGACGTACGTACTTTTCTTGGCGTGCAACAACACTTCAGCTGAAATCCTACCCTGCTCACTGATCGAAACTCGCCTATTATATATGTATGTAGCTAACATTTTTGACTGCGTTTATCATACATTTCCACTAACCTGAAGTATTGGTCTCTCCTGATGAAGATCCTCACTGGTTGCCTGTCAAGATGAAATGGCGTGGTCTCGAACCTGTGAAACTCATTTCAGGAACACCTTCGCCAGGTCGGCTTTCATCTATGAATAGTTTGAAACATTCCACCATTTATCACCACCAGGTGTTGACAGCAATTAAACCTTAATTCATAGGCATAGCACATAATGCTATGCATAGCACGAAATGTAGTAATCACCGGCAATACAATTAATGTGCCAGCAAGTAAAACCACATGCACGAAACTATAGGGACACAAACTGATTTTTGCGACTTGAAGCATACAGGGGCGCCGGAGCTACGGGGGCAACTGCCGCCATTGCCGAAACAGTGCGGGGGCGGCACGGGGGCAACAGGTTACCCTTTTTCACCAGAACTGCGCTTCGAAATTTGTACGTGCGTTATTCACATGAATTGGAATTTATAACTATTTTTAAGCAATCTTTGCTTAATTTTAACCAGTTCTAGTAAAATTAATGCCAGAGGCAGCGGATCACTTTTGTATAATTATGACTCAAATCAAACGATTTTATGAAATTTTTTTTGAAAATATGGAGTCCCTATAACGTCGGAAATGGCCCTTACAGAGTCTTTACTACTGCAAAAAGGGCACTTTCTTTCTAGCCCCTCAAAAAGGCACTTTTTCACTTTAAAAAAGTGGGGAGGCACATGCCCCCATTGCCATTGGCCCCCGATTAATGCTAAATCAGGCAATATACGTCCTGCAGTACTTTGTGTAAAATTATATTTTTGGTCTCATGGCGGCCATTTGTTTTGCACATGGCGTCTTGATGTTGCAACATTGATGAACCTTGATGTAAATGTGGCAGCCTTTAAGGCAGCCAGACTGTTCTCACCTTTTAAAGTCAATGAAATCCAACCTACTGCAAAAGATGTTGATGACCTTATGGCTTTTCCTTTCCTGGTTGATGAAATTGATCATTTGAAAGCTGAATTACCTGCCTACCTGGCACTTGCAGCTGATGTCAATGCGGATGTCAATATTTTGGAGTGGTGGAAAAATCATAGCAGTCCTGGAAGTGATTCTTGTCTTCCACATTGGTCATCTGCCGTACAGAAGGTGCTATTAGTGCAACCTTCATCTGCCACAGCTGAGCGTGTATTTTCAATGTTGAATCAGTCATTTGGTGAACAGCAGCAAAACGCATTAGAAGACTTAGTGGAAACTACCATTATGTTACAGTGTAACAAGCGTTAATAAAAAGTTGTTTTATTGATTTTTGTATGACTTGATATCGAACAATTTGGGGAATAATTTTGAGAATAATAGGTAGAAATTTTAAGAATAATTGGGAAATTTTGGGGAATAAAGGAATAGAATAATGGGTAAATTTTTAGGAATAATGTGCGTGTCCCTACAGCCATTTCAAAAGGGCGGCAATATTTGTTAAAACTTTATTGTATGGATACCCGATTTAGGCCGATTACATGTGGCTATTGTGGGTCGGCAAACTTCGACATTAATTTTGAGCAATTTTATTTGTTGCACCATGTTAAGGGCGCAAAATAAAATCAGTAAAAGAGTGCACACAGTCAGACACACCGCTGACAGCGTAGAAAAGGTACACCACTGACCCACTTTTTATTGCAATGACGTTATTCACAAGAATTGGCCGATTATTCTCATTATTCCAATGTGTAACTATTATTCCTGGTTGCAAAAAAGTCCCCTATTATTCTAAAAGAAATTCCGGAATAATGTGCGTGTCCCTAAATGGCTGCCCCCGCCGCTTCACATTGCTTCCGGCGCCCCTGGAAGCATACATGTATCAATAACAACTTGGGTAACCACACTTAACTAAAAACTTCCTCATTTTTTTGCAATTATTATTTTACCCATGAGCGGATTTCCAGATTTTTCGTATTAAGTACAACCATATTTTATTGAATATAAATTACGAGCCAAAACGCAGTTCGGAATCCATGACATACAGTTAGTTCCGTTAGTCCTAATTAAGAACTGATTAGAATTTCAACATTTACAATCATGACCATGGGGTTTACAAAATTACCACACTTACATAACAAGTTGGCTTGAAATTGACTCGCCGGGGTTGCAAAGCTAATTAATTTTTCTTCAAACACTCATTAATAATTCATAAGCTTATTGGCAAATCATGTCAACCATAATATGTCACGTGCAGTGGCTTTAAACCTGATAAAACACTCCTAATTAGTATTCTTTATATAAAGAATACTAATAAGGCAATATCTATTGTAGTCGTGTCCTCATTGGTATTCTTTATATAAAGAATACTAATAAGGCAGTATATCTATTGAATTTGTAGTCGTGTTTGAAGCCGTTTAATAAACTCGCAGGTCGTGTTTTATTAGGTCTAAAGCCACTCGCGTTGCGCGCTCGTGGCTTTAAACCTAATAAAACACTCCTCCTCGTTTATTAAACAGTACATCTATATCGCAGGACGTGTTTTATTAAGTCTAAAGCCACTCGCGCTGCACGCTCGTGTTTTCAAATTCTTTCCGGCAAATTGCAGCAAAACAACATCTGTGAACGGAGATAACGTTAATCAGGCCGTGGAAATTTCTTTCAGTGTAATCATGCAAAGTTTATTTAGTTTAATAATATTTCGGATGTTTTGAAGTGTACGAGACGGTAACATAATTGGCGGCAGCGTCAGGAACATGTGTTTTTAGTATTTTTGTAGCTATTATTTTAAATAGTGAAAACAGTTTTCAAGCGAAAATTTTGAGAAATAGGAATATATGCATTTGATACTCGAAATACCATACCAACTCGATAAGACAGGTTGTTTATGATATCGTTCATTACCAATGTAAAAAATGTCACTATATAGAACTGTCCTACTCTATGACTATATGCAGTCAAACTGAGAAATTATTTGGAACTGACAATTACATATTATATACATGCAGTACGGAATAGGTGCGAATGTAGGATACAATACTGATTATATACTTGTCAAATTAACTTCTGAAATAACATATTTTTATTCTGAATCTATCTAGACACTTTGAGACTATAGATATGGCCGCACCTTATATTTTTAACTGAACTTTAACCTGGCATGCAATTCCCTTTATATTTAGGCCTCAGAACAAGTCTCTAGCTTTTTCTCTTTCTGCAGTCTGTACATGTATAATGTATGCGTGGCGCCAAATTAACATTGGTAAATTTAATATGGAATATGCGTGCCGGAATTAGAGTTAATATTAATTTAATATGCGTGCCGGAATTAGACGGAAGGCGAAGTATTAAGTAAGTGTCGACATTGACTTGTTCATTCATAGAGGTGTTGACGTGCCATGATATCGTTATGCGGAAGCTATTTCAAGTCATGTTTCTGCGAGGGTAAGAGCCTGGGAACGAGGTTGGTTTCTAAGTGGACCAATCGAAAATTTTTGCTTCAAATTTCAAACTGAGGCCACTGAGGTATTTAATACATTTTATGGAGATGGAAGTACAAACCCTGAGATGTTTATGAGTATAAGCTGCCATCTTGTTTTGTGCTTAATCGGTTGCAAGCTTTTCTTATTTCAATTAAATCAGTGCAATATGAAGCTAAGGGCAACCTCGTTCCCAGGCTCTTTGCTCTTGGGAATGCTTCCCAAGAGCAAAGAGCCTGGGAACGAGGTTGGCTAAGGGACCGGTCATTAAATATGGCAAGGGGGGGGGGGGGGGGGGGGG